CACTCTCTTCCAGAGTTCATCCCTTTTCTCAGAACTCTCACCTGCCTATTTCCTGCCTCAGCTATTAGGCCGTCAACTTTTGTTGACTGGTGATGTTTTTATACAGTATACTAGAGGTTGTCTTCACAGGGAAGACTATGCTTTCTCCCCCTCTAGGCTTTACTCTGTTACCGTAGTTCTTTGTATGGGGTTAAGAACTCAATGAGCATTTTGCCATTTACTTTGGCATGTCTATTGATGCCTTTGTGCAGCTCATGTTTGGGCTCTTTTATCAGCCTCATTTCAACTGTCATTGCTTTTGCTGCTATTTTTGTTAAAAGTCTGAACATCCCACCTTTGGGCTATATAAATTGTCTCAGAATTGTTTTATAATAAATGCTCTCTATTCCGTTTCATTTAAACATCTCTGAGGTTTGTTTTTATCTCCTTCAGCTTTCTTCATATTATCTAGCTCAAAATCATCTAGCATTTCTTTGCTGGACTTTCCCTTTTTCCCTTCCCTTCCTCCCTACCTCCATCCCTCCCTCTATCCCTCCCTCCTTCCCTCCCTCCCTCCCTCTCTCCCTCTCTCTCTCCACTTAACTTAAGGTTAGAAAGAATACCTCTTTCCAATGGTCATTTCTCAGCAAATGCTCTAACAAAAGCACTAGAAAGGGACAGGTCTCTCTGCTCTCTAATAACCTGTAGAAGGTGTGCCCCCCCCCCCCACACACACTGCTTTTTCAGATTTGCACCTAGACTGGCCACTTTCATGCTGACATCATTAAGAGAGAGGGAGGGGGAGAAAGGGGTAGAAGAGGAGGAGGGTAAAGAGGAGGAGGAGGGGAAGCGAAAAAGGGGTAGGAGGACAGAAAAACTGACTTTATTTTTAGTTTGACTCTAAGCAAAGACAGAATAAGCACAATGTTCATGACGCTGATGTCTGTGTGAGGAACAACATTACTAAATTGTTTGAAATTTTGTTTATGTTTCTCTTAAAACAAAAGCTATAGGTTCGATGCATGTAAGAAAAATTCCTAAAGTCAGTTCTTTCTCTTTCCTTCCTTTCTTTCTTTCTTTCTTTCTTTCTTTCTTTCTTTCTTTCTTTCTTTCTTTCTTTCTTTCTTTCTT